ACCAGCTTCATGACCTCAAGGGAAAGCTTCAACCCCGCTCTTATGCAGGAGAGCTGGATGGTCATTTCTTTGTTGTCTTCCCTTTGCCTTCACCATCTTCTGGTGGCAGATCTCTTTCCTGCCTATGTGATGGACCTGTGACCCAGAAGAGACCATCACAGCCAGTTAGACCTAGTCCCAAGAATAGTTCAAAAGCAGACAAGGATGGCAACCAGAGTCCCTCTCTGAAGGGGTGTCCCCTGTGAGTTGTAAGGAGAAAGGACTCTGGAAGTTAAGGATGCAGCCTAGCAGGCTGTGCAGGCCTAGGGGCAAGCCCCCCAGAGACAGATGCAGAGATCCGTGACTAAGGATGCCCTGATGATGTTGTCCTGGAGGCCACTTGTACTCATATCCTTTTCAGCAGCTTAGGATTTTCTCTCATTTCTGTTATAAGTTAACTGGAACCATTACTTGCAACTCCAAGAACCTCAAATAACAAGAAACGACTCTGGGGGGTTGGGTGAGAAGATGCCTCACCGAGGCAGAAATTCTGTCCTTAATTAGCCTTAGCATGAAAGCCATGTGTTGGCTCACAGAACAGCACTGTGGCTTTCCCTTAGGCTTGGATTCAGACACTCAGACAGCATCTTCAGAATCCCATTTTCCTCTGACCCACTGCTTTGCCCTGCTGAATTAATTTGGATCTCAGGTGGTATTGTATTCATGTGACAAATGTTCCCTCTGTTCCTCACTCCATCCACCTGGGGAGCTTAGTCTTGCTGCTTAGTTTACACAATGCAGAAAGACCCAACACCCAACACACACAAACACACACACACCTACACACACACACACACACACACACACACACACACACACGTCACCTTTAGGGTAACTGATTTAGGTCCAGATATTCCTCATGGTGACCTGAGCTACATTCAAACTTCATGCATAGGATTATTACCACGGACATAGAAGGAGACCCACCCTTTTCCATATTTGGGGGACAAAAAAGGGCACAGAAGATGGAATGCTAAGGCTGTAATAGATGGAGAGAGACACAGGGATGGGAGATGCAGATGTGGCAGGTGGGAATTTTAGGTGCCTTATCCAGCAGGAAGTCCTGTGGTCCCATCTGGGAAGAGTGGAGTCATGCATCTGCTATACTCCTATGCAAACAGCAAGACAATGCCCAACTCAACAGTTGGGTTGGTGGCAATCTCCTAGAGGCAATGGATGTGGTGGACCACATGCTGTATTGTACAGGGAAGGATTAGTAAAGGGACAACAGGACAGCCCCAGCTACCGCCCTACATGTACTGAGCACACACGAATCCTCCTCCTCAGGCTGTTTCTTATTCCTGTTTACTCAGCTGGGATCCTCTCTGCCTTGCCTTGGCCATCATGAGGGGCGGGAGGAATGAGTTGCAGACACCTTGCCAGGATCCTCTTTACATGGCACAGGTGTGTGGCCGCTACAGCTTGTCACCTGGGGTTTACTGCATCAGATGGGTCAGGTGTGGAAAACAGGGTTGATGAGCTGAGTGTGTTCATTCATTCTGGGAACTCCAATTACAGGAAATCCTTTTTCCACTCTCTGCACTGGGATGGCAGCATTGGAGGTGTCTGGAGGAGATCTTTGGGGAACCGGGTATCATTCTGGACTAGCTCTCTCACTTCACCACAGAAGTAGGTTGGGTCAGAAATTCCAGGCTTATAGGTGGGTTAGAAGGGAAGGAGCTGCCTGGATTCTGCAAAGCTGTGGTTTGGGGAGACGGTGTAGACATCACCCCTTCACAGGGAGCTTGCTGCTGGCAGGACCCTAAAGCAAAACGGACTCAGAGGCACATCTAGTTAGCTGTGGAAGTCCTTGGCAAGGCCATAAATCCATCTCAGCCGAGAAAACTGTTTACTTACAGAGCCAAACCAAGCAAGTCGGCCCTTAATAGACTAGAGCTGGTTGGCTGCTTCCATTCCTAAATTTGGTCTTGTCCTCAAAACACTGATTTAAGGCACTTTTGATTTCCCACACTCCTCTCAAACTTGGGCAAGGGGGAGGCTTAACCTGGGCTTTAGGCAGAAAAGCCAGAGGGGATAGGGACTGGGCAGGTCTTGGAGGTGCTGGACTGACTCCAGACACCAGCTTCCTGCGAACTGGGGGTTCTCAACCTTCCTCACACTTCCACCCTTTAACACAGTTCCTCGTGATGCAGTGACCCCAGCCGTAAAATTGCCCTTTTCTTTTTAACTGTGATTTTGCTATGAATCATAATGTAAATATTTGTGTTTTCCAATGGTCTTAGGCAATCCCTGTGAAAAGATCATTCGACCTAAGAAGGTTGCCACTGACAGGTTGAGAACCACTTCTGTAAAGGTTCTAAGGTACAGAATATAGCCCTGGGACTTAGAGACGAGGTGCTGCCTACTACTGCAGGTATGGCTGTGTGGAAGGCATTGGTGTGCCTGGGGAACACAGTCAAACAGCAAAGAGCAGGAGCCATCAAGACTTATACAATGTTTCTCCTCCCTGGGACAGGTGCGTCCAGCCCAGGGCTTGGGGCTGAGGCTTGCAGACACAGCTCAGAAAAACGCTGCTCCAGGGTAGTCCTCAGCAGAGTGGGGGAGGAGGTTTTCAGGATGGAAAGAGAAAAATTGGCTAATAAATCACTCAGTACTCACTGACAGCCTACTGGGAGGGGCACCGAGGAAGGGCTAGAGAGAGAAGCTGGAGCCGAAATACGTCCCTTAATTCTGTTAGACTCTTGAGCCATCTCTGCCCAGACCCACCTGAGGCCCACCCAAGCAGGCAGGGAAGGAAGGAGGGAGGAGGATGGAAGCTGTCAGGGTGTGGGTTTTCACTGCTGTGTAGGGCGGGGTTCTGAATAATGTGAACCCTGGGCACGTCTATGTTGCCATGTATTAGGACGGGTAAGTTGTATCCAGACCGGGAATCTATTAAACAGCACACCCAGAGGCAGCTGCCACACTGTGTTATTGTTCTAACAACACTTAATCTGGCTCTGAAATCCCACTTCCCAGTGACAGGAAGTCGGAATGGGTTAAGAGTTAGTTCTCTTCCCACCTCATCTTGGGAACTTAGGGAAATACGAGAGAAGCATGATCTCCTGGGACAAGGACCTCAGTCAGCATGTTTTGAGAGTCACTGTGGTCCACTATGTACTGTTCATGGAAAGTCATGGCTGAAGCCCCATGTTGCCCAGCATGCTGTCTGTTCTTAGTTCTCCATAGGTGGTGTCCTGATACAAAGTCACTAGCCAGAGTGCTCTCTGTGTGTGGGGAGTGGGTGCTCTGTGTGTGTGTGTGTATGCTCTGTGTGTGTGTGTGGGAGTGCTCTGTGTGTGTGTGCTCTGTGTGTGTGTGCTCTGTGTGTGTGTGTGTGTGTGGATGCTCTGTGTGTGAGGGGCAGTGTGTGCTGTGTGTGTGTGTGAGTGTGTGCCAGAAGTGTGTGTGTGCTCTGTGTGTGTGTCAGGAGTGTGTGTGTGTCTGTGTGTGTATGTCTGTGTGTGTGTGTCTATATGTTGCTAACATGACACTGATCTCACTTCCCTAGGCTTCTTTGCTTCGACACAACTAGGCTGATACAAAAAGAGTCTCTTCCACCAAATCAGAAATGGTGATTGGGAAAATAACTTGCCTCTGTTTGGCTTCAATGGGACTGAGAAGATGAGAGGTATTTGTCCCTTTCCCATCCCAGGAAGACATTGTATGTGATATATGGATCCTTCATTCCGGTAGAGTTTTCCTGGCACCCCAGTTTGAAGCTGTAGCAGAGCTGAAGTGCCCACTTGGAGGTGTGAGTGCACATGCACATATGCCCACCTATCCCAGAAACAATCCACCTGGAAGAGTAGGACAGCCCAGTAGGCTAGGAGGGCACAGCTTATTCCAGAATTCGGTGGGAGTCACACTCCCATAGACACTCCCACAGACACACATATACATGCACACACAGACTCTCACATACACACTCACACAGACACATACACTCACATACACACTCACACAGACACACAGAGACACACAGACACACACATAGACTCTCACATACACACTCACACACACCACACACACATACACACAGACACACAGACACACCACACATACTCATAGACAGACACAGACACACATATCACACACACACTCACACACACTCACACACACACCACACACACACAGACACACCACACAGAGACACACTCACACACAGACACAGACACACACACCACACACACATATACACAAAGCAAAGATAAAAAGCCAGAACTGACAGATTCTGCTCATTTCAACCAGGAAATGACAACAGGACCCTTAGATGAATTCCTTTGAGGAAGGGGCTTATGCCTCTCTTGGCCTGGCCTAGGGAATGGCAGCATGCGCTTACACTGGCTAAGCAGGTGCACTGAGGAAGACCCTGCTCCACACTCGTTAAAGGGGCCCTGCGGGAACAAATGTGCATCCTGGAAAAACAGTAGCACATGCATGAGAAGGCGTTGTGTCTGTGGGGCTCAGCCAGAGCCTTTAGAGAAATCTTCTCCAGCTTGGGCTGCGGCAGCTGAGGCTGAAGTGGGAAAACCGGGGTGAGTGGTCTCACTCAGCGGGTGAGCATGCCTGCAAGTGGATTCCGAGCCCCAGACACTGCGGCTGTTTCCACAACCTCTGGCTCTTTTTCTGACTGGAGAGGGTGATCCCTAATGAAGTGAATCCCTCAGGAGAAACCGGTTCTGGCATGTTGGGGTTTGTAGACCCACGGGGACCTTTCTGGGGTCTCGGTTCATCAGCAGCCTATCGTAGGATGACAGACCCTTAGGAACCAGACAAAGAGGAGACATCTGCTGGTATCTGGGTTGGAGCTGTGGAGCTTTGGGGAGCGCAGGTGACTACTATTGCTCATTTGCAACAGTTGCTATTAATTACCACATGGCTCTGGCATCGCATTCTCAGGGACGCTGAATTACCCACAATCCTTCACCACCCTGAAACAGGCAAACGTGGAGCTAGAGCACGTGCGAGCAGGCAATGCAAATGGCATCCCTGGAGGGTTTCTCCCTAGATTCCCGGCTGTCGTCTGAGTTATTTGGCGCATCTTGTATTGGGTGAAGCAGGTGAGCCAAATTATGCATTAATCTAGTTCAAAGAGCAAAAGAGGACAGACCCAGATAAGGAATATGAAGGCCCAGGAGATGGTTTAGTTAGTGATGAGCTTGCGAGCATGATAATTGAATTTGATCCCCAGCACCCATAAAAAAACTGGGGGTGTGCTTGTAAACCCAGGTCTCATGAGGTGGAGACTGAAGGACCCCGGGTCGCATCGGTTAGCCTGTCTAACCAAATTGTCCAGCTCCTGGCTCAGTAAGTACCCTAACTGAAAAAATAAACTGTGCTTGGCTCATTTTCAAAATATCAGTGATTATAATAATACCAGTGAGGTGAGGAATGATTAAGGGAGACATCCAGCATCGATCTCTGGCCTCTGCAGGTATGCACACATGTACACATACACACACAAAACACCACACACACACACACACACACACACACACACACACACACACACACGGGGAGGATACTCCAGTATAAAATTATTGAGCTTCACATTAAGCTGTGAAGCTGGTTGCAATTATTTATTTAGAAGATAACTAAATCTTCCCTCCAAGCCTGCGTTGTCTGTTACTGCTGTTGTTGCCAGCATTATCAGAACTGCCAATCATATTGGAAAATAGGGGTCACTGCCAACCTCTCCCTGGAGGATTATGTGAGTCCCCCCATCTTTGCTAGGACTGGTTTTCGAAGGGTCCTGACACGAAGCCCTGTCACTCCTGGGGGAAGATAACTAGATCTGATCAGGGGGACAAGCTTCCCTTTATTATCCTTCTTCAACTTTCTTTTCTAAATGTCATCCTAGCAATCATTAATCACAGTGAATAAGAAGTTATAATTAATAGAGGCCCAAATCGTTCAAGTGGAAGATTATTCTTTTGAATTCTTGTGTTTTTCTTGGAAGATGTTCTCGAGTTAATTATTTAGTATTTGGTTTTTTTTCAAGTTCCAGTCTTGTATCTGAAATGAACAAATTGATCACAGTCGTGTGGGGGATGAGGAGATGATGTCTAAATGTATGCAGGGGATGGATGGGAAAAATCCAAACAAGGCTGGGGGCTCTGCTGCTCCCTCTGCTGGCGTTTCAGATGGGAACAAGCTGATAGATTCAGAGCTGTGCTTGTCCCGGGAAAGCTCTCTGCGGGCCCACCCCTCCCCTTGACACACAGAGACCAATGCCTGTGGTCAGATTCCAGGACTAGGGGCTGAGAGCGGAGGACCCTGGTGGGCACTCAGCAAAGAGATGAAGTAGTCTTCAGGTCCCGGGCAGGCTGGGTGGCTGCAGGGTACCCGAACCCGCTTGGTGGCTGCAGGGTACCCAAACCCTACCACTATTTCGTTCACATGGAACCATCTTGTACTTCTATCCACACTGGAAACAGAACATTTTGTTTTAAACCGAGCCAGAGGAGGCTACCGCTTAAACGCGGGACACAGGAGAGTGCCGATTTGAGACCATGAAGAATCTTTGGCTGGCAGTTAAATGGGAAGGAAGAGTGGGTGGGAGTGTCTTCAGACACACGGGCACTGCCTATGCCACACAGGCAGCTTCTCTCTTGCTGGTATGAGGATCATATTCCCAACTACAGCTCATATTTATACCCGATTCCCTTGTTGGACTTGCTGCTGTCAGTTGTTTTTAAAGAGGACATCCCTGTGTATTTTTCCCAGGCTCAGCAACTTCCGGAGGAGTTCTGTTACGCTGCTCTGTTCTGTGTGGTTTGGTTCACATCTTTTCGGTATTGAGTTACAATGCCTGGACCACATTTCTGCTGATCTCAGTTCCATGTCCTGCGTCAAGGCATCTGTAATGGAAGTGGGAATCTGTGATGGAGAAACTGTGTAGTTCCAGTGTCAAGTAGAAGTCCCAAGCTGTGCAGGGTGAGGATAGGATGGCAGTGCCTGAAGTCATTCATTCATTCATTCCCTACCAAACATTAACATAATTAGTGCCGTTGCTTGTAAGAGCAATAGACTGTAAGGTGAGACTACGATTTTTAAAGAAAAACATTTCATAGTTCTAGATCTCTCCACATTGAAGTCAAATGTTGACTAACATGACCTCAATTCTCCCCCGTGTCCACTTTTATTTTTATCACGTCTTTCTAGTTTCCTCTTCAGACGTGATTCTGCCCTTAAATCTCAGCTGGCCTTCTGATCAATAATGATGGAAGCAATGATGACGCACAATCTGGAGACTAGATCTCCAGAAATCAAGCCCTTAAGGACCCAGCAGAATGCTGCTCTCCATTGGAAGAACAGAGGCCACTTGGAGAAGCCCCTCGGCCTTCCCTGATGGTTGTCTTCCCACCTGCTGTTCTCCAGTTAATACAAGTTCAACTGTCTACTCCATCTCTGCTGACTGAGGAGGCACCAGAGAGCCCAGGTGAGAACGGTCATCCCAGGTGACTCATGGACATGTACCCAACAATTGCCCTCTTGCAAGTTACTGCTTTGGGATGGTTTACAAGATAGCATTCTCTCTCTCTCTCTCTCTCTCTCTCTCTCTCTCTCTCTCTCTCTCTCTCTCTCTCACACACACACACACACACACACACACACACACACTCACACACACACACTTACATACACACAGTGACACCAGTTGGAAAATAGAAATAAACCCTAAATTCTCCTTTGTTCTAGAGTTTTAGAAGGGGTGGGGGAGAAGCATGATGACTATGATGACTATGACAAGAGCACCTTCATGGTATTCACTCCTGTTTATGGTAGTGAGGTCTCAGTGCTGTTGGTCACAGCATGCTTAGGGGGACGGGGAGACACTCGGGGTTTTGCTCAAAGAGGAGTCCAGACCGAGCTGGCTGGGCACACTACTAAGGGCAATGAGAAGATGCTAAGAAGACACGCCATTTTCAGGGATTTGGAGGAAGGTGGGACAACTTTGGGTGGCAGGAAGGAGGGGAGGCCACTTAACAATGGCATTCAGGGCTCCAAGAAGGGAGGACATGTGACTTCATCCCTCACAACATCTCCATTACCTCCGGTGTGAGAGGAACTGTTGCTACTGGGTCTCTGTCCTGTGAGTGGGAAAAATCTTACATGTTTTATTAGACCATGAAGCCTGCTGTGTGCCCCTGAGTGTTAAGGAGTCAGGATATCACAACGATTTCTATTGGTCATGGCTGGCTGAAGTAGTTGGAGGGGACTCTTGGGGCCATCCATATAGGCTCATACTACTGGTATAGGTTGCATCTAAACTCTACTTGGATTCTAGCTTATAAATCTAGGTTTCCCCTGAGTGGCCCACGGGGCATCTCTGTCAGTTTCAAATGGAGGACTGCATTCAGCAGTCTCTCCTGAAGGTGCTTCAAGCTCAGGAAAATCCCTTTTTGAAGGTTCCTGCCCTAGCCCTGCAGGACCAGCAGGGGGCCTCATGTACAGGCTCCAGGCCAGGGAGCAGGTACAGGGCTCTTTTAGTCCTTGACAGGACCTAGTTTTCCATACTATGTTCCCTCTATCCCCAAAATACCTCCATACTAGAATTGCCAGAATAGACTTTTCTAAAATGTGTGTTTCAAGGTTCCATCCCAAACTCACTAAATCAAAATCTCACAGGCTAGGGCCTAGGAATAAACATAATTCTAAAAAACAAACAAGCACAAACCCAATCAGTGGTCTCTGATACTCATTCTGTTATGAGAATTACTGGGTTGTCCCTACTCTGAATCATAGGTAGGTGACACTCAAAGGTGAGCTATTCTTCAATCAATACTCAAGGATCAAAATCCATCAGCAGTTTTTTAGTATATTTACTTGGGCTATATGCTTAGTTTTTCCTTTTAATTTGGGGGCGCTCTGAGTCAACCAATTTTTGAGTCTTGCAAAAGCAGAAAAGAACAATAACCATGAACTTGTAGGAGGCAAGCTGAAACAATACACCATCTGCAATGAAATCAGCATAAATCCCCCAAATGGCACTGTGCTGCCAACACAACTCTCCAAGGCCTTCCTGTCTGCCTCAGTGGAGTGCAGGCCCTGGAGAGGTTCAATTATCCTCCACACATGTGCTTTTAGGGAGCCCAGCAAGAGAAGGCGCCGGAATGTTCAATAATGAGGTTCCTAGGGTTTCTGAATAAAGGGAAGGGCAGGTAAATGGGAACTCAGCTTGCAATTCCATTGTGGCTATGAGTGCTAATCATTACCCAATGTTTCAGTTGTGATACTTGCATTATTGACCTAATTGAAAAATAACTGATGGAGGGTGTCCTTATTACAGACACATATAACAACTGAATATCCACTCACTCAACAAATGTTTGTCTACCATGTGTGAAACACGAGACAACTCAGGTGGCTTCTATTTCTTTGCTGCTTATGGGGAGGGAGAAGGGAGGCCGAAAGGGGTGCTCAGAAAGAGTTGAAGAGAGTACTCTGATGCAGAAAAGTAAGGAACTATTTAGGGAGCACATGGTATTTGGTTAGGGCATTGAGAAAGCGGCTTTGGGGAGAGAAGATAGCACGAGCCATGAGCAGGACAGGCGGTTATAGGTAGGTTTGAGATGGCCTCCGTTTTTCCTGTTTATTTTTAGTACTTATGAGAATGGAGAACTTTACGGGTAAAAGGATGCTGATGGCAGCCCTGGATGCCTGAGACCCCCTAAAGGCCTGGGTATCCCACCCCCGTCTTCCAGTGTTCAAGAAGGATACCACCAATGGATCCTGGTAACATCTGAACTAAGTCTGCGCAGAGCCCAGGAGTCCTTTCCCACAGTGTACTCTATATGTAGAGCCACTAATCACTTGGAGTTGCCTGATGAGGAAAGAGTCTTTCTACTCCCCCTCCCTCCCCTTTGGTGAGCAAAAGAATTGACATTTCTAGAGACAATGGCTAGTGGAGAAGGTCTTTTGTTCTCTCTTGAAGCTGTAATATAATCAAACATGAACCTTTGGATGATTAATCGGCAAACAGGATCTGGGAAGGGCCAGGCAAGGAAGGAGAGTGAATTAATCTGGCAGGTGTATTGGGAGACTGACTATTGCAGTGATTCAGCTAGGAGTGACCAAGCCCATAATTAGGGCAGCGGTGACGGACACAGCATGGAGAAGGCGGAGGCAACAGACCTTTCCGGGGTAGACTTAGCAAGGCCTGGAAGTTCACAGAATATCTGGGGCTGGGAAGTGGGAGAGGTCAGATGGCAGGAAGTTTGTAGTTTACAGTATGTGATATCCTGGCAAAGGAAGGGGACTCAGCAGGGCAGGAGTCTTCCAAGGGTATGTGATAAACTTAGTTCTAGGAAACTGGGCTGACATTGGGAGGGGTGTTTGTTTCGGGCAGGGGTGGCATATTTGGAGTATGTAACCAAGATCAAGGAAAAAGAGGAAATGTGCCACTGGGAACTGTGTCCCTCCGGACGATGGGTGAGAGGCAAACTCACCAAGAGGAAGAGTGTAGGGTAAACAGGGAGGGAGTGAAGGGCAGGAGACAAAAGCCCAGAGCAGCCTTGTGTTGAGTCTTTCATAGGACAAACTGCATGCATTTATCTTCCTGGGTCTAATTGTTTACAGCTCATTTGGAAATATCCATTTTCATGCACTGAAAGTCTCTGGTGATTATAGTATACTCTGACCTGATGCTCCACCCCCTAATTAATCAGGTTCAGGGCAAGACCTGAAACTCAGTCACCAGCTGACAAAAATCAGTTGTTGCTCCCAGAGGACACTGGGCTTTATTGGTGTGCAAACACGGACACAGTGTCTCTGCAAATGCACCAACGAAGCCCCTCAGAGATTCAGGAGCTCAGTGCCTTTTCTCTTAATGTTCCAAAGCTGGCCTGCATTACAGATGATAGAAAGTGAAAGGGACTTCCAGGGCCAGCAAACTTCCTGCCAGATGACTGGCTGATGTTACCAAAATAGAAGAGTGTCTTTGACCTCTTGCTAGAGCAGAAGGTGAATGACCCACCCAGGCCTGACCTCGTGTCTGAATGTCCCCAGAGCCACAGACGCATGAGGCCTTAGCTCCTACATGCATGTCCTCAGGAGCCCTCAAGTCCCATTCAGTATTTAAGTTAAGCCATCTTGATGGCTCCCAAAGCAGGCTGCTCAAAAGGTATCTAGAACTTCTGTAGAGATACATGCTGTAAATGTTTCGACAAGGTTAACTATAAAACGCCATGGTCCCCTATCGGTTGCCTGAATGTCCTTGAGCTCATCTTCCCAGAAACCCATGTTGATCTCTTCAATATCTGGATTTTGCTTTGGCTCTTTGCCCTGTGGAAATTCTCATTTCTTTGGTCTCTCTCTCTCTCTCTCTCTGTACAGCTTTCTCCTCACTTCTGGTCCTCTATGGAAATGTCATCCTATGACTCCCTTTGGCTCTCCAGGGTCTACCTTAGCCCCCTGGTTGTTCTTCACCTTGACTGCTGTCTCCTTTCAAAGGACATCCTTTCCTCATGTAATGCATGGCTGGGCCCCATTTTTTAGCGTTACTTTTCTTGGTGAGTGACATGCGTGTCTTGTTGTGGAAGTCGGGGCTGACTTCTGGGGGTATTAACTCCTCCACTTACCAGGATGAGTGGAAGCATGATCTTTGTCTTTGAATTGTCCACAGGTTTCACCATTCTAGAAGCACCTTCACTTCTCCCGACATCAGCCTAAGAAAGCAAGAACAAGACTGGGTAAGTGAACCAAGAGACTATAGCAGTGACTCATCTGTGGATCCGGTACGGGGACAGGAGTAGCAAAACCCAACCTCTGGGGCTACGGAGAAGGCTCAGCAGCTGAGTGTACTTGCTACTCTCACTAGGACCTGGATTCCATTCCCAGAATCAACACCATCTCACAGGCACGCTTTACACCCAGTGTTCTAGGGGAGCCAGCACATTCTTCTGTCCTCATCAGACACCAGGCACTCATGGCACGTGTACATCCATGCAGGCGAAATGCTCATACATAAAATAAAACTGAATAAACGAAGAAAGAATAGGACCCAACCACAGATCGTACTAAAATCTTCACAGGATTAATTCTTGTAACACCTGTAAAGTCTAAGTAGGCGCAGTTACTATCCCCCTTCACAGATGGGGAAACTGAGATGCAGGCTCACAGTGCACGAAGTCCCTGAGCGCCAGACTGTTAGGAAGCCTATGGTTTTGAGTGTGTCTGCCTCCACTTGGCTGGACCTTGGGGGACCCCAGGTTTCTGTGACCTCTTCTTCCTCGCCGGGTGCCATGTACCGCTTTTCCCTCAGCCCTGTGTCTTCCCTGCTCATCCTGTCACTGTTTTTCTGCAGAAAGAGTTGTTTTCTCAGAGATTTCCTCTCTCCAGTTTTTCCTGGGCTGTGCAAAGCAATAATTGCTTGACTACTCTGGAAGCATCAAGAAAGCAACTTGAAAAAGTGCCTAGAAGGCATTTTTTTGTGTTTTTGCTGGCTTGCCTTTCTATCAGAGGCCTGTGGAGTCCCAGCTACTCCAGCTGTCTCCAGGAGCCTTCATTAAATCAGTATTTTGATGTTAAATCAATGTTTTCCACCCCAGCTCCCCTCTGGGAGACGTGAGGGAAGAGACTTGGGTCGTGACACCCTCCATCACACCTTCTTCTTTCCTTAGATCTCGTCTCTGCTGCATTAAGCAGACGAGTCTCAAACCACCATGGGACTTGGTCAGAACAGAGGTTAGGATCCAGGCCTCCCCTTGGCCATCAGATGATTTCCTTTTCCTGGAATATCCAGTGACAGACTGTGTGTTGGTTTTGCTTCTTGATCTGTTGCCATTTATAGTCGATTGAAGTTCTGAGCTCCCAGTGCCCTAAAGAGACAAACAGTCCCACAGGTTGGTCATAGGGGCCCAACACCACAGTGCTGGCAGGATGTCCTCTGATCCTGTTTTATAATGTGTAGTCAAACAACCTCGCCGGGACGCTGGTGGGCTCTGGCCAGGGTGCTGAAGGACAGAGTTAAAAGGAGTCTGGCTTTGACTTCTGCAATGCACAGTATAGCAGCCTTGCCAAAGCAATGCCGTGGAAGCCTGCTGGGTATTAATAGCAACAGCTAACATTTATGGAGCGTTTATAATATGCCAGATGCCATGCTAAGCACAGTTTAATCCTCACTATGACCCCTGGAAGGAGGTGTTATTATCACTGCAACCCTTGGTAGTTGGGGGGGGGGCCCTAAGACTAGGATGTTTGAGCTACTTGCCTGAGTCACACAGCTAGTGCTTGACTCCTAACACCAAATCTCACATCCTCACCCAGTATATTCTGCATCTGCCTCTCCAGATCTTTTTTTTCTAAGAATCCCCAGTGCAGATCAGGTAGCCTAAGGACACAGTTAAGAGGCTGCTTTGGCTCTGCCCTCCACATGGGTCTGTGCCTCTGAGACCTTCAATCTCGGCAGGGTCTTAGCACTGTAGATACAGAAGCTTCATTATCAGTCTGTCTAGGGAATATGGAGCTGCAGTGGGAATTCCTATTGCTTTCACAAGGGCATTAAAGACCCCACCCTGCAGATATTAGCATTCTTGACAATCCACACCTCTGACTGCACAGTGATTTCTCTTGGCAGTGATTTTTTCAGGAGGTGACCCAACACATAAGAATGTGATTCAAGGGTTATCCCCATCAATGACCAACTCTACTCCCTGCTCCCCTCCCTCCCTTCTTCCCTGCTTCTCTTCTCTTCTTCTCTTCTCCCTTCTCTCTCCTCCTATCCAGGTCTTTTCCCTTGATTATTTAGAACTCAGAGAACTTAAAATCATTATTGGAGAGGTTCAAGTACCTTCTTGTTCTCGAAATTTCATTTCTCATTATTCTTCCTTAGGCCCTCAGACCTTTGTCATCACAGCACTACTATGAAAACCATGGGAAGATTTCTGAGATTAATTTTACTTTATAGAAATACATTAAATTGTCTGCCCTACAAAGAAAAAAATTGAAAGTGCAATGGATTAGAAGATAGGAAAACGGAGGACCAGCTCAGCTTTGCTTCAGGGAGTCAGCACAGGTCATGACTTGTAGTAGGGATGGGGCAGACAGTCTTCCCATTACACTTCTGAACCCACCTCCTTGGTGGCTTCCCAGACAGAATATATGTCTTCCTGGGGCTAAAATAAAGAGACAGCTAAGACTCTCAGATGGAGCAGGGGAAACATGTAATTTCCAGAACCAAGAAGAGCAGGTTCTTGGGGTGCTTCCTATCAAGCAAGCAGCCTAGGGGATGCTTCCTTTTGGGATGCTTTCTCAGCCAACCCCAGCAGAGTCCAGAAACAATGGGAACACGATGCTACGTGCAAACTGATCTGTCCAGGCATCTTTGTGGCAGTTACAAGCCTGGTGTTCAGTAGTGCTTAAGGTCCCTTGTCACACTCCCCAGGGTCTGGAGTGGATTCTGTAAACTCCCCTCTGGGAAAGTGCTGGTGGCTTACAGAGCTGAGTCTCCAGGTCTAATCAGATATTTTGAATTGTTTAGAGTTTCAGAACGTCTCTTGGAAATTGTACATTTCCACAGATAATAATGTATATGCTACCCCCAAATGGGGGTAAGAATGATGTTACTGCCTGTTGATGACTGAAAAGCAGATTGGCAGCCCTCTAAACTTGTTTTATTTTGCTTTTGAGGAGGTCTCACTAGTAGCTCAGGCTGGCCCTGAACTCTGTGCTCCTGAACTGCTGTCTTGTGGACACAGGTGTGTGTCACCATCTCAGGGGGCAGCTGTCTACATTATGTAGAGGAGAGGTGATGGCATACTCTTATTTTGTCTGTGATTTAACCCTGTCCTTTATACAGTAGATCAGAAGTGGTTGAACTAACCTCATACTTCTTTTATCCATCATAGAAAATCTTTCACAGTACTGAATGCAGGTGTAGAGGTAAAACTTGAAGAAAGACATGCAAAAAGAAAATCAGAGGGCTCTTGGATATTATTGTCTTCTCTCAAAGGCATATGGGAGCTGGGGGCCAGCAGAGGACACTGAGGGTCACCCAGTCAGTAGAAAGGGAGACTCAAGCCCCACTTTACAGACACTCTCCCCATGCTGATGCAAGTGATGGTTTTCCTTTGCCCACCCATGAAGCCATTCTGTGTGCTCTGTTCACCTGGGTTCTTGTCTAATGTAGACAGTCTTTTAAAGGGCTGAGGCAAGTCCACCTCTCTTCTCTCATGGGCCACTTGTTCCTCTGAGGGGTAGGTGATCAAGCATGCCTTTGCCAAATGTTTCTATGAAATGTCCCTCCTCACCATGGGCTTCTCTCCAGTCTTTAGTAGCTGAAGATCTAATGCAGCACCATGAATATCTTCTTTCTATATAATCCCCTATTTCAGAAATGCTGAGAACCTCATGGATCAGATGAGTTAAGTGAGGAGATGTTGATTTCTTCATTCTACAGATGAAGCCACAGAGGCTCTTGGTGACATAGAGAGTTGCAGGTGTTACCAGTGGGCAGCTGTTGCTCTTGGAATAACATGCTGGTGTCTAGCTTTCCTTTGCTTTCTTTTCACTATACTGTATGCTGCTTGCTATGTATTCCAGATGTGGTGACTTTTTAAATGGCATCACTTTGTTTGACAAACCACAATAGGGATATCTCTCATAGGTGCTGGTGAGTTCTGAATGGGTGAGGAACTAACTCAGCAGCAAAGGTCTGGCTGACATTTCTTACTTAGTAGACTTCTATCAGATACTCAGACCAGCCAAGGAGTAGGAACCCTCTGACTCTAGGTTCTTATGCTATGAGGGCAGAAAGAAAATAGGACCCATCTTAGCTGTCTGTATATAAAGAGAAATGAGAAGCAGCTAAAGGAAAGACCCCCCCCTTTCCTTTGTCTTGACAAGAGTTGTTGGTTCCTGTGTCCCATTTCTAGTCTCTTCATTCCCCTTGTTTACCTTAAGCTCGAGTTCTGGGTTCACTGAGGCAATCAGCTTCTACCCATAGCTTCACAGCACTTCTTGGTGAACTTCCCCAGGTGATCTATGTTTAGTCTTAAACCCTGAACAAAAGGCTAATTGAGGTGCCTATCAACATATCAAACCTGACACTAGCCACCAGGTTCTTCCAGCAACTTCAGTCCCTATCTGCTACAGGTCCTCCTGGCTGCCATCCCTGACTCCTACCCAGGGACTGGGCTGCCCTTCCCCCAGCTGCTCTTTCCTATATAACACAGACATTTGGGCATGCTCACTGGCCCCTTTTATCTTTGGCCTCTTGTCCTCTTGGCCACTGCTCTTGGCTCTCCCATTTTCCCTCCCACCTCCCCTTACATGGCCCAGCTCAGCCCGGTTATGTTCACTCTGAACTCTCCCAAATGTCTCTGCCCTCATATCTATAATAAACCTTCTCATCACCATACCTAGGAGCAGTCGGTCCTCCTTTTTTTTTTCATTCACACTGCAGGGAGGGAGTTGGCAGTGTTCTGTATAACTTGTTCATTCCTGTCCCATCACTGTTGGGAGAGGAGGGTGTTATTTGCCCCTTTGGTTTGGAAGCTGAGTCTCAATCCCTGGTGCCTAGCACCACTGGGATGTTAAGGAGCTCCTTGGTTCTGCGGCAGTCAAGTGGATAGATGGTGAGAACATCTGCTCTGGAAACACATTTCTCACAGCAAATAACATTTACATGCTTGTGCCTGCAAATATCACTGAGGTGTTTGCAAAGTTAAACACTGGGGCTTTGCTTGTCTGGCCTTCCCTTTGGCCAACCCCTGGGTGTTCCTCGGGTCTAAGAGTGTAGCTCAGGGGGTACCCCTCCTCTCCCCTCTATCTTCTGGGGTCAGATATTCCTTTCAGAACCTCACACACAAGGCCAGGTTTTAAGCTGATTCAGATCCAGTGGTACCTTCAATTTTGCACTTCTTATAGGCCTGTGCACAAGAAGATAAACCTTCCTATGCGTTTTCTCTGCCTGAATGTAGGACCCTACCCTTTGAGCCTGTCATCAAGGTGCACATCTGGAGTCCCCGTCTCCTCCATGGGAAACTTCTAGATTTCTTTGAGTCTGTTTGTCTTGATAGTTTTATAAATTCATATTATCCCCCCCAGAAGACGAATTCCTGGCCAAGGACGGAATAGTTTACCATACCGAATCATCTGTGCACACAGGTTTAGAAGCACACTGCACACATGTTTCCAACACATGGCAAGGAACACTAACACATGTGTCTGTATAAGACCACAAGCGTAAGGAAATACACTTGTGAGTACATATCCAATTATTACGTGTATTGCCTAAGTGGAGGGAGGGGTGCATCACGTGCATGCAGAAAAGGGCAGCGTGGAAAAGCTGAGAAGAACACAAACTTCCTGTCTCCTCCCACAAGCTCTCGTGCCCTTCCTTTCCAACTTGGGCCTGGCAGAAATGGTTGTGGCAAAGAGGAATGACAAGTAATAGATAGGTCCTTCTGAGAACGCACCATTAACACTTGCAAGTTCACCCACAGTGGACTTCAAGAAGCCCATCCCGCAGGGACTCAAAGGAATCTAGAAGTTTCCCATGGAGGAGACGGGGACTCCAGATGTGTACCTCGATGCCAGGCTCAACCCAGATACCTGGACCAAAAGAATAGGGAATGTTTCCTGTAACATCATACACATTTGTCCTGAAACTGAAATGGGGAGAAGGACTTACCATGTGAGTTCTATGCCTATGTCCCTGTTACCATGTTAAAAGTGTAGACAAGATGGCTGAAAACTAACTGCTGAGCATCAGTAAAGTTAAAAATCTGAAAAAAATAGAAAGAAAGGAAAAGAAACTCTTTCCTCCTGAGAAATGTCCATGGAGCATGACAGTTTGAGAGTGGAGGAGGGGAGAGGGAAGGATATGGAGGAAAGACAATGAATCATCCAACCATTTATGATCTTTTAAACAAAATTCTCCAAATATGTACTGTAAAGAAATTAATATAAAATACAGTTAAAGGCAGGAGTGTTGTGTATATCATAGACATCGGGAAGCATTTGATGAATGGATGGATGCTGAGTAGTGTTCCATGCATGGTACATCCATATATTTGGATTTTCAAGGACCTATTCATTTGTTAGTCTACCTCAGTGCCTGCAGTGTGTCCTCGGGGTCACACTTGCCAATGCTCTTTGGCTCAGGGTATTCTGTTTGGAAGTCTCAGTTTACTCTTTGGTTATTCTATTCAGTGACCAGAATAACTGGGGTGACACTCAGGATGAAAACAACAGGGAACCATCCCTGTTTACCAAATTAGCATGGTGTGTGTGTGTGTGTGTGTGTGTGTGTGTGTGTGTGTGTGTGTGTGTGTGTGTAACTGGGGAATCTGTATTTTAACAAGCATCCCAGGGGGTTCTAGGCTTATTAAAGCTTCAGATCCATTGCTCTAGGCATCCTTACCTGCCAAAGTGATGTGCTGTTTTTACAATTAACTCTGTTTAAACAAAGCAAAACACAGATTTATTATTTATATTATTTAAAAGAAAAACAAACTCCATTGTCTGACCTTCCTTTGTTTCAATGCCAGCATATTAAAAAACCCAATTCATGTGAGCTTTCTAATGTATAGCTACAATTTCCCATAAATCCATCCAATTTGGCAGGAACCAAGTCAAATGACTCCCTTTCTCTTATATGCCAGCTTTGTGTAATGTTGACCTGCCCAGGGGCAAGATTCGCAAGTCTTTTCTCTTCTTAAAACAAATTTCAAAAACAAAGTCAACAAATATATCAAACATAAACAAGCATGGAGGATAATATAGTAGTCAACAAGCTCTTACTGCATAGCTTTGTCCAGTCTTAACATTTTGCTACACATTCTTCAAATATATTTCTTCATAAATAAAGCATTATAGGAAAATTTATGTAGACATCTGCAACTCATTCTTCTTCTCTCCCTCCCCAAAGAAACCACTGTGTTGATTTCAGTCATTTTATGTCCATACATGTTTATATTTATTGTATGATGCCTGCATACAAAATTTTCCTAGACACAGTTTTAGCTTTATAGAAGTGGTATCATAGAGTATGCATTTTTCTCTTTAAAGATGGGTTTGTTTTGCTCAGTGGCTGCTGTGTTGGTCTTTGTAACTACAGCTTATTTTAACTGTTATATAATGTGGAGAATGTGGCATAGGATTGGGTAGCATAGAACGATTGAAGTTGTATGAATGTGTCATCATTGTAAAACACGTGCTTTTTTGATTGAAGTTACATTATTTTCATTTTGTTAATTACTGTGAACAATGCTGAGAGGAAATCTTTGAAGAACTTTTTTCCCCCAGGCTGGGAATCAAGCCAAGGGTCTTTCATACAGGAGGTGAAGTCCTATTCCTAAGCTGCAGCTCCAATCTATGGGATGAAATTTTCTGGGATTCTTCAGTGGTGAGAGACTTTGATATACCTCACTAGGAACCGAGGCCATAGTGTGTATGCAACTTTAGCTTCAACAAATACTGTCAAGTTGTTCTCCAAAGAACTTGTGCTGATTTCTATAATCCTTTATCCTTGAATGTTCCTGTAAGCCCTTCCTTGCCTCTAGTTCTAGAACACAAAACAGAAATGCAAGTCAAGGAAAGAAAACAAAAACAAAACAAAACAAAACAAAACAAAAAACCCCACAAACCCTCCCCAAAAAACCCCAAAAAACAAAAAATAAAAAAGGAAAGAAAACAGCATCATGAATCCATTCATCACCAAGGGAACGTGTTCTGATTGTCTTTGTCCTGTCTAGAAGAACTTATTGCATGTGACCACCTCCTTTCAAACACAATTGGTGTGTACAGGGGGAAGCCCTGACGATGGGGCATTTGGAAGTGGAGATTTAAGGGCACGTGTGTTGATTGCCTAAAAACTAACTGGGAAATTCATATGTAAGCCATAAATAAAAGTTAATTACTTAAGTAAAAGTGTGTGAGAAAAGATATCCCTGGATAGTATGGATTTGTTACTAAATGAATTGTACCTGCATTAATTCTATGGGAGTTCACAGGAGGGAGAGGTCGCAGTTTATGCGACTCAGATTCTAATTTGCCGCAGAATGGTTTCCTAGCAACCATCACTAGATGAGAATCAGCTAACTCTGCTGTTTTGAACCAGACCTAACTCTGTTAGAAATATAAGTCAAATAAATGCCTGCTTAAGGTTGCATTTCACCTCGTAAAGCTGCATTTGAGATATATGACTACTGAACAAAGGGATGAAGAGGTTTCCTTTACTAGAACCTAACACAGGTGACATGTAGAATCGAAAATGGCAGTAGATTTAAGAGCTTAGACACCTGTATTTCCTCAGGAATTGGACTTGAGTTGCGTTGAGTGAAGAGGTGAAAGACAGGGAAAATGGGAAGAACCTGGAAATGCATGCTGAGAATATGGAATCTAGCAAATCCTTAGCCATACCCAACCCAAGATATTTCAGAGATTTTTGCCACACTTGGGCAGCATCCCTGGGCCCCTGCTCATCACTGCCTGGTTACAGGAAGTGAACTCCAAAGACTACATCATGCTTCCAGAGGATAAACAGTATTACAATGTCAGTTCAATTCTATTCATCTCACCATTTCCAACCATCTCATGGTGACTGGCTGGCTGGAAGAGGGAAGACATTGGAAATTCCTAGGACGAAGGCCCATGAGATGCTTGCTTGTATACTCTTGAACTTTGAGATACTTACCACTTCGACTCTTGCGTTTGACATAGGAAACAGTCATCAGTGAAGGAAAGAGTTTCCAAACACACTCCTTCGGCCAGTGCCATAAAAAGAACACATTTCCGTTTCTGAGTGCCTCGTTTAGAAACACCACTCTCAGGCTGCTCATGCTGGAAGAGACCTTTAGCAGATTAAAAGCACACCCTGCAAAGAGGGGGCAGTTCTGCCTTGTTGACAATCTGTGCCCTACTTCTCTGGGAGAGAAAATTGCCTCTTTACCTTTTGTTGTTTGTACAAAAGCAGATTTATTTTCAGATACTCTCAGGGACATCTATGAGAAAAGGCATTTAAAAAATTAAGCTTAGCCAGAAAAAGTGAGAATAAAATACAAATTGGGAAATCCTGTAAACATTTCATATTGTTCTTGAAGTCTCTCAACATTCTAAGTTTAGTTAAACTTCAAGTCAAAAGTCAAGGATCTGCTGGTGGCAAATCACTTTTGGGCAGTTTTCCAGGCTATAATTTCACCTCCATATCAAATGTCATTGAAAGCCATTAGACACCAGGGTTAAGTCATTTTGAGAATTTATTGGCAAATATTTTGTTTCCACTGGTGCACTAAACAATAAGCCCTTTAGATGGTCCTCATTTTTTATTTTTTATTTAAATTAGAAACAAGCTTGCTTCACATGTCAATATGCCAGGGATAAATACTGACCTACTACCCAAGGCCCCATAGATTGTCTAGGCCTCCTCACTGACACCCAAATTTAGGGCATCTGGATCAGTCCCATGCTGGTGTCTCAACCATCAGTTTGGGGTCCCCCTTTTTCAGGTCAGCTGTTTCTGTGGGTTTCACCAGCCTGATCTTGACCCTTTTACTCATCACTCTTCCCTCTCTGCAACTGGGTTCCAGCAGTTCAGTTCAGTGTTTAGCTGTGGGGGTCTGCCTCTGCTTCAATCAGTCACTGGATGAAGGCTCTAGGATGGCATATAAGGAAGTTGTCAATCTCATTACTGGGGAAGGGCATTTAAGATAGCCTCTCCACTATTGCTTAGATTGTCAGTTTGTATCATCCTTGTAGATCTCTGGAAATCTCACTAGTGTTATATCTCTCTTTAAACCTATAATGACTCCCTCTATTATGGTATCTCTCATTCTGCTCTCCTCTATTCTTCCCTCGACTCAACCTTCCTGCTCCCCCATGTCCTCCTCTCCCCACCTATTCTCCCCCTCTCTCCCAGCTCTCTCTCCCCTTCCACCATGCTCCCAATCCACTCAGGAGATCCTGTCCCATTACCCTTCTCTAGGATACTACGCATGTCTCTCTGAGGGGCCTCCCTGTTTCCTAGACTCTCTGGTGGAGGAATTGTAAGCTGGCACTCCCCTGCTCCATGTCTAAAATCCATATATGAGTGTGTACATACCATATTTATCTTTTTGTGAATGGGTTACCTCACTCAGGATGGTTTCTTCTAGTGACATCCATTTGCCTGCACATTTCAAGATTCTATTGTTTTTTTCCACTGAGTAGTACTCAATTGTGTCAATGTTCCACATTTTCTCTATCCATGCTTCTGTTGAGGGGCAGCTAGGTTGCTTCCAGGTTCTGGCTATTACAAATAATGCTGCTATAAACATAGTGGAACAGATGTCCTTGTTGTATGATTGCCCATCTTTTGGGTATATGCCTAAGACTGGAATTGCTGAATCTTGTGGTAGACTGAGTCTCATTTTCCTGAGGAATCTCCATACTGTGGCTGTACAAGTTGGCACTCTCACCAGCAGTAAAGGAGTGTTCCCCTTTCTTCACATCCTCTCCAGCATAAACTGTCATTGGTGTTTTTGATTTTAGCCATTCTAACAGGAGTCAGGTGATATCTCAGAGTTGTTTTGATTAGTATTTCCCTGATGGTTAAGGATGCTGAACACTTTCTTAAGTGTCTATCAGCTATTTTAGATTCCTCTATTGAGAAGTCTCTATTTAGTTCTGAACCCCACTTTTTAATTGGATCCTTTGGTGTTTTGGAGACTTGCTTCTTGAGTCCTTTGTAAATTTTGGAGATCAGCCCTCTGTCAGATGTGGGGTTAGTGAATATCTTTTCCCATTCTGTGGGCTGCCTTTTTGTCTTGTTGACTGTGTCCTTTGCTTTACAGAAGCTACTAAGTTTCAGGAGGTCCCATGTATTAATTGTTGACCTCAGTGTCTATGCTACTGGTGTTATGTTCAGGAAGCAGTCTCCTGTACCAGTTCATTCAAGGGTGCCTCCCACTTTCTTTTCTAACAGGTTCAGTGTGGCTGGATTTATGTTGAGGTATTTAATCCATTTGGACTTAAGTTTTGTGCAAGGTGATAGATATAGATCTATCTGCATTCTTCTACATGCCAGCATCCACTTATGTCAGCACCATTTGTTAAAGATGCTTCGTTTTTTTCCATTGCATATTTTTAGCTTCTTTGTTGAAGATCAGATGTTCATACATGTATGGGTTAATATCAGGGTGTTCAATTCGATTCTATTGGTCTACCTGTCTATTTTTGTGCCAATATCAAACTGTTTTCAGGACTACAGCTCTATAATAGAGCTTGAAGTCAGGGATGGTGATGCCTCCAGATGTTGCTTGGTTGAAGAAAGTTGTTTTGGCTATCCTGGATCTTTTGTTTTTCCATACAAAGTTGATTATTGTTCTTTCAAGGTCTGTGAAGAATTGTGCTGGTATTTTAATAGCAATTGCATTGAATCTGTAGATTGCTTTTGACAAGATTGCCATTTTTACTATATTGACCCTACCTATCCAAGAGCATGGGAGATCTTTCCATTTTCTGGTGTCTTCTTTAATTTCTTTCTTTAAAGACTCAAACTTCTTGCTATACAGGTCTTTCACTTGTTTGGTTAGCATTACCCCAATATATTTTATGTTGTTTATGGCTATTGTAAAGGGTGATGTTTCTCAGCCCTTTTATCGTCTGTATATAGTAGGACTACTGATTTTCTTGAGTTGATCTTGTATCCTGCCACTTTGCTGAAGGTTTTTATCAGCTGTAGGAGTTCCTGTGTAGAGTTTTTTTGAGTCACTTATGTAAACTCTCATATCATCTGTAAATAGTGAAAATTTGGCTTCTTCCTTTCCTGTTTGTATCCTCTTTATCTCCTTTTGTTTTCTTATTGCTCTAGCTAGAACTTCAAGTACAATATTGAAGATATATGAAAAGAGTGGAAGCCTTGTCTTGTTCCTGATTTTAGAGGAATCACATTGATTTTCTCTCCATTTAGTTTGATGCTGGCTGTTGGTTTATTGTATATTCCTTTTTTATGTTCGAGTATGTTCCTGTTATCCCTTATCTCTCCAGGACCTGTATCATGAAGGGATGTTGGATTTTGTCAAAGGCTTTTTCAGCATCTAGTGAGATGATCATGTGGTTTTTCTTTTGTTTGTTTATATGGTGGATTACATTAATAGATTTTCGTATGTTGAATCATCCCTGCATCCCTGGGATGAAGCCTACTTGATCATGGTTGATGATTTTTCTGATGTGTTCTCCAATTTTCCAGTATTTTTTTAACAGTTCATTTTCTGGATTGGACCTCCTTGAAAGACTTCCATGATCTGTGCTGCTGGAGGCTACTTTGCTATTGTGGTCCACTGCCCCAGGTTGTGTTGAAGCTGGATATTCATGTGGCTATCCATGGTCCTACAGCAGCCAGGAGCCATGTTATGTCCCTGGCTAAATTCAGTTTGCCAGTATTTTATTGCATCAGTGTTCATGAGAGATATTGGTATGTACTTCTCTTTCTTAGTTGTGGCTTTGTGTGGCTTGGGTAACAAGGTAATTGCAGCCTTGGAAAAAGAGTTTGGCAATGAACCTTCTGCTTCTATTGCATGGAACACTTTGAGGAGTATTGATATTAGCTCTTATTTGAATTTCTGGTAGAATTATGCACTGAAGTCATCTGGGCCTGGGCTTTTTTTGGTTGGGAGACTTTTAATGACTGCTTTTATTTCATTATGGATTGTAGGTCTGTTTAAATTGCTTATCTGTTCTTGATTTAATTTTGGAAAGTGATATCTATCCTGAAAATTGTCCATTTCCTTTAATTTTTCGAATTTTGTGGAGTACAGGTTTTCAAAGTATTACCTGAAGATTCTCTGGGTTTTCTCGGTGTCCTTTGTTATGTCCCCCTCTTCATTCCTGATTTTGTTA